AATAATACATTTATAGATTTGCTAGTTTTTCAAACTTATGATTTTGCAATGTCTTTATCGATTTGTTAGCGACATTGTTATTAGCTCACGATTTTTCAAAACTTGATATTTTACGACGATGTTATTTGTTTGTTGTTTTTTCAAAACATATGATTTTATGATGCCACTACTAGTTTTCCATTTTCAAAAAAAAAATTTCTTACAAAACTTTCTATGCAAAGTCAAAGAAATGTGATTTTCAATGACTTTATGCCGAAAGTATTGTAAAAAGAGGGAAATTATTATCATCTCATTTTTTACCTTATTTATTTTCATGAAATTTTTTAAAAAAATAGTAAAAGTGGAAAAGTTAAATTCTTTCTTAATTTACTTGATTTTACAAACCACTATTCATTTTCAAGATTTGTAAGAGTTTTAAGACTTTTGCAACTTTAGAATAATTAAAAGAAACAATAAAAAGAAAAAGAGAGACAATAAAAGAGAAGAAAAATAGGGAAGAAAAAATGAGTGAAACAAAAAAAAAGGAAGAAGAAAAATAAAAATGAGAGACTACGAATAAAATTTTAGACGATCATAAACCAATTTAATTAGGCCTAGTCACATTTTAGGATAGCCTAATCCTACTTGAAGGCTAAGCCACTCCTAATAAGAATTAGGACTAACTAAGTTAGGGGTATACATACCATTAAAAAAATTAGAATGGAAGGGGGGACCATAAAAGAATAAAAAAATAATGAAATACTAAAAAATCCACTCTTTAACTCTCTCACTTACCCGGGAACATGGCTCAACCCGTAAACCCAACACCTTTTTCTCTCCTAAAACCACCACTCACCAACTAATACAACTCCAACAACCACCACAATCGTAAAGCCCAAGCTTATATCAACCTTTCCCAACTAGTTTCCATGGCCAAAAACAACGGAGGAGGCCGATAAACAAAAGACAAAGAAAACCACCGAACTTGTATCAATTTTTGAACCAAATCTTCACTTTTTAGCAAATCCAATTGAAGCAAATGCCGTTTCTTGACCCATTTTGAAGATTTGTTCTAATCTAATGTTCTAGGCCAACCCAAACTTTGAAACCACTAGAGAACAAATTTTTGAAGTCTTCTAAGTGATTTGGTACCCTCTTCTTCCTTCATCATGGTCAAAATCATGAAAAAATAAGGAAGAGAAAATGACGATCATTGACAATCGTCAATCTCTTCCTTCTAATCGATAATACGCGATAAGGTCTTAATCAAACAATAGTCTCGATCATTCTTTCTTAACTAGCCATGCACCGGAAAAAGGTTGGATGGCGATCAAAGATGTTGGCAATAGCGATCGACGTTCTATGGGAAGTTTGGTAATTTTACGGATGCGTACTATACACATGCCAATATGATGAGAATATAGAGGCTGAATGATATAGACTAGTCAATATCCAATGGGATGATGAGAACATGCACTACTTATTAGGTCGGTCAACAACAATATAGGCTTAAAGAGGAGTTAGAGCAAGCATTTGGGCAAAAATTTATTGATCCACAACCAAAATTAAAGTCGAAGAGTTTAGGATTGAGGTCTGGTGTATGAGATTAGGTTGAGCCTATTGAATGGATTTTGGGACAATGTTTTCATTTAGTTTTAGGTCGAGAATGGTTAATGGTGTTTTTGATCGAATTAATGGCTAGTCGTTTTTTTGGCCAAACTTATTGTTTATCTTGATGAGGTTTGGTCTATATTTATTGTTTAAGTTTTTTAGGGTAGATTTAATTACATATTTATGTTTTGTTAAATTTTAGGCCATATTTACTTCATTTTGTTAGATCCTAGGCCATTTTTAAGTTTGTAAATTTCTAGGCATTCTAGTCTATTAAGTTTTCCTAGAATGTCATTTCAACCTATTAATAGACATATCTTTATATTCAATCATCATTATTCAATCAATATACTTTATGAAATTTCAATAAGAATTTTCTCTCGTAAGTTCTTCCAAGAACTAATTTAGAATATGTCAAGAATCTAATTGATTCTTATGGCGTTCAAGCGACTTATCACTCCCTTTTTAACTACTCTAAAGTATGGCATCTATACCCTTTTTGGATCCGATTTGGCTTTCTTGAGTTTAATCATCTTGATTTATAAGTTCTTTAGCCATCGAAGTAAGCATGTTCGCATCATAACACTACCCATTTTCCGGATTTTTTCCAATGGTATTTTGGACATTTCATGATCTTTATAGGGTTTTAACAAGCAATTTCTTTCTCTCTTTGGTCGACTAAATAATCGGTTTTCATCAAAGTTGAGGAAAATGGAACTAATTCCAATAGGATTTTTTGACATTTCAGCATCTTTCGATAATTATTTTGGATAATTCTTCAAAATCTACGTACCTATTTAAAATTTTAGAAGATGAATGTTGTAAATTATTTATGCTTTATTATTTTAAATGAATAAGATATAAATGTTAATTTGGTTTTAATTGTTGGATGTTTGAAATGTTTTAGATACATCATTGTCATCAAACCCGAAATGGTCGAAGACCTCAAGTATTTTGAAGAGTGATAAGGTTGGTGATCAAGAATCTACAATGGAGCTAAAAGGAATGGCCATGCTATTTAATTTTAATAGGTTATCCGGGATGAGTGCTAGTCCTAGTGTATGCATTTGGATATTTTGTTTTTGTTTTGGATGATATGATTAATCCAATGTGATGATTGTGATATCTTGATTTCGTGATTGTCATTTTCAAAGCATGATGTGTGTATGCAAACAAATTGCCATTTTGTGAATCAAAGCTATCGGTGGTTTTCTACTCATAGGAATGAAGCTATCGGTGACTTTAAATAGTTGAATGACTTCCTATTTGTGTGAACTGGAGCTATTAGTGGCTTTTCACTCGTGCGGATGAAGTCGTCGATGTCTTCTAAATATTTATATGACTTCCGTTTATATGAACTGAAGCTATCGAGGGCTTTCAAATATTTGAATGAGTTCATGTTTGTGTGCAATGAATTTATCAATGGCTTTCCATTTATGTGGATAATATCGCCAGTGGCTTCCCAAATTTGAGTGATTTCCTATTTATGTGAATTGAAGCTATTGGTGGCTTTTCACTAGTATGGATGAAGCTACTGGTGACTTCCAAATATTTGAATGATTTCCTATTTGTGTGAACTCGAAATTGTCAATGGCTTCCAAATATGCGAATAATTTTCAGCTTGTATGAATCAAAATTGTTGATGGCTTCCCACTTATGTGGATAAAGTCGTCGGTGACCTCCTCTTTGTATAGACGAAATCACCGGTGGCCTTTTAATTATATCAATATAGGTTTGTAATTCCTAAAGACTCGTCTATTTATGAATACAGAGTTTGCGATTGCTAGAGGTTAGCCAAATTTTCAATTTATATCCCCATTTCTCCTTTAGAGTATGAGCATAGACTTTCGATAGGCCAAAACTTCAAATTACTCAACCAATATATCTCAATAAAATAAATTCATTTAAATAGGCATGCAATCATAACATAACAAGACCAAACCTTAGTTTTCACATGCATACAATATAGCTTACCTCAAATAGGATGAATGACAATGATTTTAATCTTTCTAATATGTAACCAACTCTTTACTCGGATATTTGTGCGGACCAGCTTTGTTTAGGGTTTTTTAGTTCTCCTAATTACTAGATGGTGACTCGCCCACATATAGGCTCCCTATCGACAATCATTAAATAATAGTGTTATTTGCCATTATTTAGTGAATAATAATAATTAATTAAAAAATTAAAAAAAAAATTGATTACCAAATAGCTTGTAGCCTAATGATAGTGGTCTCTTGTAATAAGAGATCATGAATTCAAATTCTAGTAGACTAGTTTTGCTAAGAGTTTTAAGTGTATGAGTTAAAAAAAAAAAAAAAGAATATATGTATAAAAATTGATTCTTTATATTTTATTATTGTTTGTGTGATATTAAATTATTAGAAATGTTATTATTATTATTATTATTATTATTATAAATTTAATTATTTTTTATGATATTAAACTATTAGAAATATTATTATTATGTTTAATTAATAAAATTATTAAAAATATAAATTAGATAAAATTTGTTAATAATTATTAATAAGTGGTATATATATACAATATCGATTACTATAATTATTATTTTATTATCACATCATAATTATTATTTTATTATCGAAATAAATGACCATCATAATCAGTTTTATAATTACATTTATGATTTAAAACTATAAATGTAATGTTTCCTACCGGAAAATATATATATATATAATAGCACACCTGCGGTTTTTGTTTTTTTTTTAAATCATATAAAAATGCCCAGGAGCCTCTGCATGATCTTGGTAAGTGGTTGGAAGAGGGATCGGAAGTGCAACCAAGTTAAAAATTCATTCAATCAGACTTTCACATGCGAAACTACACTGAGGACGAGCCATGTAACTCCTAAAATTTAAAGCAATTTACATTTTAGTACTAATGACACCCTCCATCATATATTTCTAGTTCTACCCATCCACACTGCCAACCACACTCTTGACAACAATACCAAACAAGCTTAAAAATAGAACTTATCTCATAAGGTAAATTATTGTCAAATTAATATTTGATATACAAAGATATATATTATTTACGTAAAAACAAAGCAAAACTTAGGATTACAGCATTAATCTAACTATATAAAAAAAATAATCGTTTAACAAAATTATGTAGCTTATTATACTTAAATCTTTACCTACAATTTTTTTTTTCAATATGCATATACTTTGGATAAATAATAGTTATTGGCAATATTACAAATGAGTGTCACTCTTTAAAGTCTTACGAATAGAAATTTAAGAATAAGTAAAGGGTTATTGTGATACAATTCAAGTAGAGAATCTAGTTTGACAAGTGTACAAAGTAGAGGGATCATGCGCTAATTTTGGCCAAAAAGAAAATATTGTAAACAAAGTAACAAACAGTCTAGCTATCCAGTAAGCGCAGGAATGGCTTCCATGTCCTCAATAACCACCTCCTTCTTTTCTCTCCAAGCAATTTCCCGCCCTAAAACCCGAAAACCTAACCACCCTAGCAAAGCTTCACCAGAAAACCCTAACATCAATCGAAACCGCAAATTCAAACCTCAAAAGGCTAAATTCAAATCCCCGCTGAAAACAATCTCTTCCACCGCCGGCGAAGCCACTAGTTACACTCGCCTCCCTCCTCTAGAAGATTTCACTGCCCCGTCGCTAAAATTCGAATCTAAAACACCTCAAGAAGTCAAGCTCTCTGATTCTAATATAGTCAAACTCGACAAGGAAAATGAAACGCAGCGTTTCAGGACCGAAGATGGAATGGATGACAATTTACGTGTCGATTACGGGCGATTTGAAGTGTTTGAAGGTAATCCAGATTTCGATGAAGAAGACGACGACGATTATGAGTATGAAAGCGAGGAAGAAGAAGAAACTGTGAATGGCAAAACTGTCAATGATTGTAATACCAGTAGCTTTTATGAAGGAGAAGAGTTGGAGGAGTTTGCTGACGGCGAAAATGTGAATTTGTCAGATTTCCAGGGTGATGAAGAAGGTGTGAAGGAGAAGGGAGTGCCAGCGGTTATGCGGTGTTTTGACCGGGCGAAAATCTATGCCAAAGCCGGAGATGGGGGGAATGGAGTGGTGGCTTTTCGGCGCGAGAAGTTTGTGCCATTGGGGGGGCCGTCGGGAGGGGATGGAGGGAGAGGAGGGAATGTGTATGTAGAAGTTGATGGTTCAATGAATTCTTTATTGCCATTTAGGAATAGAATGCATTATAGGGCTGGGAGAGGGGCCCACGGGCAAGGGTCATGTATGAATGGAGCGAAAGGAGAGGATGTTGTGGTGAAAGTCCCGCCAGGGACGGTTGTTAGGGAGGCTGGGAATGAGGAGGTCTTGTTGGAGTTTTTGTGTCCAGGACAAAGGGCTTTGGTTTTGCCTGGTGGGAAAGGTGGGAGAGGGAATGCTGCGTTTAAGTGTGGCAGTAATAAGGTACCTAAGATTGCAGAGAATGGTGAAGAGGGTTTGGAAATGTGAGTATGTGTTTTTGGCTACTTTTTATAGGTTGCCTTTTGGATTGAGTTGTGATTGTGTGTGTGTGTGTGTGTGTTGGGGTTGGGGGGGGGGGGGGGGGGGGAGGGGATGGAGGAGGAGGAGGTGGGGTGTGGGCGAAGGGGATGTGTCTGTGTGTGTTTGAGCATTTGAAATTGGCTTGTTAGCATAGCGTTGTTTAGATGATGGGTTTCTTTGCTTTGATTAAAGCGATGATGATGAGAATGGTGACAAATCAGTAGAATATAAGTTTTAAACTTTAGTTGGACTTGTTCTGCTTACGTTCTGCATTTTGTAATGTGCTGGAGTTGTTTTGTTTGCATTTGGTAGACTAAGAATTTCATGTTTGGTTAGAGTGTTGAGGTCAATATTATAAGGTTATTAAATTTCATAGTTCGTCGGGCTTGAGGGATGTGGTTATATGTTCTAATAGAGTTTGTTTCGATCTGTGCTCGTTAGAAATAATGGCTTTCATGAACAGGTGGTTAGAACTAGAGCTAAAGCTGGTTGCAGATGTTGGAATAGTGGGTGCGCCAAATGCTGGGAAAAGCACACTCTTGAGTGTCATAAGTGCTGCACAGCCAGCAATAGCAAATTATCCTTTTACTACTCTACTTCCTAACCTGGGTGTAGTTTCATTTGATTATGACTCTACAATGGTAGTAGCAGACCTTCCAGGTTTACTTGAAGGAGCACATCGGGGTTTTGGCCTGGGTCATGAGTTTCTACGGCATACAGAAAGGTGTTCTGCCCTGGTACAGGCTTTCTATCACGAACTGCAACTAATTTAATTATCAGATTTATAGAGAAATTCATTTTCCTGTTGTGGTCGTAACAGTAAATTATTCGACTTTGAGCTTGGGATGTTATATTTCACTTCCTTACCTTATTCTAAAAGATTTTCTATCCTTAAGTTCTTTGGGTAACTGGAAATGATGTGATGCGCAAAATGTTTTTCTGATATTTGGGTTAGTGACTTTATGCATGATGTAAGAAGATAAAATTTTGGGTAATGTTGATCAAACAACAGTGAATTTAAAAGAGCGCACGAATGATAATTTGAAGTGACGGTAACAATGTGATCCATATCTACTACCTCTTAACCCATAACTACTATTTCCTTCTTTTCTTGTCTGTTACATTAAGGATATATGGATGGGTCTCAACCTCTCCTATTATTTGTTTGATTTTTCAACTTACAGAATCTACATTGTTTTGGACTCCTAGGTACATGTTGTTGATGGCTCTTCACAACAGCCAGAATTTGAGTTTGATGCTGTTCGTCTTGAGCTGGAAATGTTTAGTCCTGAACTTGCCGAGAAACCTTATGTCGTTGCCTATAACAAAATGGACCTGCCTGAGGCATATGAAAACTGGCCATTATTCAAGGAAAAGTTACAAGCACGTGGGATTGAGACTTTTTGCATGAGTGCTGTGAAGAGAGAAGGGACACGTGAAGTGATTTGTGCTGCTCATAGGCTTCTGCAAGAAAGTAAAGAAGCCAATATGGGGTTTGAAGGTCAAATTTCTACTTTTGATTTTTTTTAAAAAAAAAAAAAAAAAAATTGACTTTGGTATGCCCTTATTGATCATGCTTGAGTACTCAAAATCATGTTGCATATCCATTATTTTCAACCTTACAGTGTCTTGAAGGGTTTTCATCTGTTTTAGGTTGGACCAACCCAGTAAATTTGAATCATGTAGCTGACATGGTACAAAAGCAGCGCAGAGCTCCTATTAATGACTTCAAAATCTCTTATGACAATGCTTCCAACACATGGCATGTAGTTGGGACTGGATTGCGGCGCTTTGTTCAGATGACAAATTGGCGGTGGGCTATGAATTTCTCTCTGATAACTATGTATCACTATATTTTTCAGTCACCTCTTTTCATGTCTTAGCATCTTTGGTTGATTATGGTCTCGTTCATCTCACATCAGCTTGCCAAATATGATTTCTGATTATACTTTATGCATTCATATGTTTGCTGTCTGAACATATGTAACTTCCAGTAACCTAGCAAGGTAATGCTGACTAGGTTTCAGTAGAGATAGAGGAGGGTGCAAAATCCTTGCATGTCATTTTTTTATTGGATTCTCAAATAGATTTTCTGTTCTGTTTCTATCTTGACCAATGGATCACCAAACCACAAACCTGCATTGTTTACCTGGTTTGGTTATTTCAGTTGACATGAACATTTGTAGATGTTAGCATCCCTTCAATGATTTTGGAACTTGTTGAGAATACAGAAGTCATCAGCAAATGTGTTACTTTGATAGTTTACGATTCTCATTTCTGTGTTATAGTTCACATTTCAAGTTGCCTGGTTTTTATTAGGAAACAGTCATCATCTTGTCTAATAGCCTGGGTCTATTCAATTGCTTTTATTATCTACTAAGGATCAATTTTCTCTTTTTTTGTTTATACCTTTGCATCAATGATTTGGTTGCTACTCTACGATAGGACAAAATTTGCCAGAACTTGAATGCTTGTGGGTGATCCTTCATGCTATACTTGACTCCCAATTGCTGTCAGCTTCTACTAGATCTGGCATATTGGGATTGCATATTTTACATTCCTGAGATAATATGCTTTCTTTCTGGTTGTCTTTACTCTGTATTGCATCTGAAGTATTTAATGCATAATTTTGAACAGATATAAAGATTCTGAAACAAGATTCCAACATGTGTTGGAGGCCTGTGGTGTGAACAAGTCACTCTTGAAGATGGGAGTCAAGGAAGGTGACAATGTAATTGTTGGAGAGGTGCGTTGAGCTTTATATCTTCTCACTGGCAGTGCCTTTCCCCGCCCAATGATGTATCATCTTAGCACTCCATGGCATCCTTAAACTCTCTTTCTCTCTCTCCCACACATATGCACAGACATGCATGCGCTCAATGTTTTTTCTCTGATTCTAGTAAGCAAACTTCCATCACAATTAGTTGCCACTGACATCAGCGAGACCATGTATTTCAGGTAAGGTACATAGTCAACTTTGAGTTTTTAACTGCCTCTGTTGAAATTCACAAGCTTGTAATTGATCCAATAGAGATTCCACTTTTGAAGTGGAAAACAAGTCATATTTCATACAATGTCCTTGCATTCGTTTCTCAAGCCAACCTTATGTCCACCTGAAGTTCTTTTCGATGATTGTCATTGTTACTAGAACTTTAGCCCATTGTTGGCAGAATTCTGATTGATCGCATCTTCTTCTTTGCTTCCTGTCAGATGGAAATGGTGTGGCACGACTATCCTGAGAGTTCTGGTCTATCAAATGTAAATAGGGGATCATTCAATCCAACCAAATGGCCTGAGTGGAAGTAATCCTCCTGTTCTTAATACCAAGAGGTATAGCGACTGAAACTTCTTTGTATTATGATCAAAATGATATAAGGTCTACTTGGAGCAAATAAAGTGGACCACGCTATCTTTATTGCTCTTCTGCTTATTGACAGAAAAGGGAACTTCTTCAGAGAATGGTAAACCTTTACCTTGAATATTTGCAAGTAAGCCATTAGAATAAAAGCAACCCTTGTGTCCTGTTCTCGTTTGTAACTGTTAATGCATGTGTACAACTTTCTTATTTCAATGGCATTGTTACTTTTATTGGGTGCTAGCTAGTATCTAGCATAGTTGCTCAAATGACTTTGGGCTGGATTTGCTCACACTTAGGATGGGATAAATTAATGGGGATGAGGATTTTTTTTTCTGTTCTTTTCTTTTCTTTTTTTTTTGGGGTGGAATAAATAACTAGACCAAAAGAATGAAAAAATTACATACTTCAGCAATCCTTTGTTAGTTGTTGGATCTCTCAGGCATGAAGAATTGCAGGCTCTAAAGTAGCTTGATTTGCTATTTTCCAGAGTGGGCAGATCATATGATTGCTACCTATGTCATGGACTGATCGCTGCTTGGTTGATTGCTTGTAGGTTGCTACAGATGTATCTAGTCGCCATATAGATTATCCATGTAAAGCACACGTATGTGTCTCGGGAAGATGTGATACCAGTGCCACATTTCATTCTCATCTCTGATTCGTTATGTCTGAAGCTGGAGATTTTGCACTTCTTCTTTCAAGTCAGTACTGTTATCACTAGCAAAGGAAATGCAAGTGGAGATCAAAGCTCATGTGGTCGAATCCTATTGTGTGGTAATAAGATTACTTGACATAGAGAATACAAATCATAGATTCAGTACTCTAAAGGTCAGAGATCTAATTATTTATCCTTTTATTATTAGAAGGGGTGATATTTAGTAAATCTTTAGCAAATTGTAATGACGTCCTTGACTGAATTTCTTGAATGGTTTTTTTGATCGATTTTCTGTTCATTTCCTTTTATTTAAGGAAAGAAAACTCCTGCCTCGGACCATTTCATCGATTACAAAATTGTTCCTATAGTTTAATTGTAACAAGCATTTGGCATTTGAAAGTTGCGTTTGGAACTAACAGATGCGACCAGATGGATCCTAGATTTATGTTTACTTCTTTTATTAAATTTATGTGGGAGTTACAACTTCAAATGATGATTGGAAAGATAAAAGAGTTATCTGACCAAGAATTCAGGTTTGTAACAACCGGGTTCAATGTTGGATCCTTCTTTTTGCTTTTTTGCTCCTGAGGAATAGGGTGATGTAGTCCAATCAGTAGAGCTTTTCCTTCCTAAAAGGACTTATGATTATGTGTCATATCTTAACAAATTAGTAATTTATATTGTCTTTATAAAACGTTTAATTACGATTATGTAATCGGGGCAAGTAAAGATTGAATCCACGAAAAAAGAAATTAGCCAATTGTTTTGGGTGTTTTGAGTGTTCTTGTAATGTAAAAAGGGGTTTGTGTATTTAGAATACTTGAAAATAATATAAAGTAGTGAAGAATAACAATATGAAAGAAGCTTTAGTCAAACTTTAATATTTATTTTTGTTTTAGTCGTTGATTATTGATTAAATAATTAATTCATCCTAAACATGAATTTTCACTATAAGACAACATGTATATTGACCTCTCGTTTCTTACCTAGTCGTTAATCGAATATACGATATCCAATTAATTCCCTATGTATTGAGCAACCTATTACTAGATAGATTTAATCCAATAACAACATTAAGATGAGAAAGACAGTGAAGTTAAGCCACTTTTCTACGCGTTAGAGAAGATGTAATCTAGTTTTATGTTTTTCAAGGAATTGAATGAAAATATCATATAATCATTAACCTCTAGTTACTACCACGAGCAAATTTAGACAAGCAATTACACGGATTTGAATACTTAGCTAGCAATAAGTAATATGACTAAACGATTAGCATAGACTCTAATTAATTTAATCATACAATTATGAACCAAATATATAGAAAAACATAAAATACCTAATAGAGATAAGTTTAGAAATAAAACCAATAATCTCACAACGATTAACAAAAAGCTTCAACTTGATTCAACTAAAAATGAAGTTTAGTTGTTCATAATATATTACGGAGAGAATTTCTATTAATGGTGGTCGTAAAAGAGTTGGAAGAGACAGACAAATAATACCCTAGCTTTGCTATTTATATCTAAAATTAGGGTTACATGAACATGTGTCGGCATCATATGGCCACATGACTTGCTACATAAAGGTATATGGTTTGTTGCTTGATATCACATGGTTTGGAACCTTGGAAAATAAGTGTTAGCTTGTTAACTAGAGCACGCATCCGTGTAACTTTGTTCTTCATTTTGTGTTGCTAAGCTTTTGCTCGTGTAGATTTTTTTTGCAAACCATCTTGAATTTCTTCTTCTCGTGTATACCTACTTTGCCTTAAAGACACGGACGTGTGACTTTACATTACAAATTATGTGTAAAGCCTATCGCTCGTATGGTTCTCTTCTTTCTTTGAGTTTTGCTAGGTTCAATCACCTACATGATTGTGTGGAATGCTTCCTCTAGCCGTGTGGAAATGCTTCTACTCGTATAGCTTGTTGTGCTTGAGACTCCACACGAGTTTTCGCATTTAAGTCACACAACCAGTAGCTATTTCCAATGTCATTTTACATAAGCATGTGACTCCTCTAAATCTCTATGGAGTTTCTCTTTTTCTTCCCGAGGTTTTGAGTTTCTTTGTTTCGATTCATCGTTTTTCCTATAAAACTCAAAACCATCATCTTGTTTTTAAATAATATAATAGAATTCAATAAGTACTCGAAAGTTCAATGTAATAGAGTATAAAAATCATGCTAATTATATACTCATCAAATACCTCTACACTTAAACTTTGCTAATTCTTGAGCAAAGTAAATAAAATAAAACTTAACTCACTTTTGTAGGAATCATGATTGCATTTAGCATATACAACAAGCCTTAAACTTTTAGATTACCCTAGTGAATGAGTTATGTCTCGTGAGGATTTTCGGACAATAAACTCATAAAATCACTCAAACAAATGTCATGTAAATATGATTATTTTTTAAACACTAATGCTCAATTCAAAATTCAACAAAATTTGATAGTCAACTCAAAAATGTTTAAGATATTATTATCATATCAATGCATGTCTCTAAATTGATTTATGCATCTTCATAACCAAATACAATTTAAGCATGTTACACCAACTCTACCTTTTGCCCTTTTTCCACCGTTATAAGCAAGGTAATAAACATAGATTTTTCTTAATCAAATTTTTTTCATTCTAAGCATCCCAAAGTCGTTTTTCTAAGGCCTTTATAGCTTTTTCCCCGAGTGATCACTTGCCTTTTTATGCGACTATCGATATTTATGATGAAGGTAACCAATTTCTTGGCAAGCCATCAACCTTAAGTGCTTTGCATACTCATAATTTGAATTGTTGTTTTACGTAAAAGTAAACATTTGTGATGAATACTCTTAGTTACTAAGCAACTCAAATCATTGAAGTAGAATTTTTAATTACCGAGGTCAAATTTTCTAATGGGATGCTTTTTCATTTTTCTTTCTCAAATAAACATTAAAAAAATCTTGTTTATTTAAACCATGCTTAGGTCTAGATTCTAAAGGGTTTGCTTTTCTTTCAAAGTTATTCTTCCTAAATTATGTTCCATCATGAATAGATATAAGGCTCTCTAGCATACATGCACTTTTATAATGATAATATCCTAAACATTCTCATTCATCTCGTTAAATTTCATTGAATTCAATTGTTAAATCTCAATCATGAAGAACATCATGCTAAACATGGAATTTGTTTCATTTTTTTATTTTTTTCATATAAGATAGGGGTACAAAATAAAAACACACAAAAAAAATAAAAACAAAAATAATAAAAGCCTCAATGTTAAATGCATCCCCACACTTGAATCATACATTATCCTCAATGTGCATATAAATTAGCCAATTAAAAATAGCATAAAAGATAAGGATAGGGATAAGAAAGCAAATATGGATGACCATCTTTAGTATGAAGGCGGTGGCAATGGTGAAAAATGCATCAAAAAAATAATATAGATATGGCAAGCTAGGTATTGATCACTTGAAAGTCGATTATAGTGTTAGAGTTTATGGCCTAAATGTGCTCGTTCAATGCTTCAAATCGACTATTTGCATTTTGATCTATTGTTTGTATTTTTTTATGCAATATGTCAAAGTGGATGTTGACATTAAGTTGAAAGTCATTTAATCATGATACAACTACTCTACTCTTTCTCGCATATCCACTTGAGGCACCTACTTTGACTACGGGTTAGGCTTCATCTTCGTTTTCACCATCGTCATCACCTTTAGCTTCCCTCCTTTGTCTTTTGATTGGTTGAATGAAATATCTTGTTCTTTTCTTCTCTAGCAAACCAATTTTTATTAATTTTTTAAAGGCAAATTGCTCAAACCTTTTTGCTTGGGTTAAGGTGGTATTATGCCGATGAAACATCTTCAACTCAATAATTTGGATTATAAACCTACCCCGACAATTCCTCCCTTTATCGACCTCTTAACGGTCGAGAATTGATCCATCAAAATGTATGTGAAATCGACCTTCATCATTTGAGAGATAAAGTAAAGGATTGCTAATTCATTTTTTCTTACCATTCCATTATTGTTCTCCCTTGCACATAACATCCTTGTAACACCCGAGTGTATGTATCGATAGATCGAGTTTATGATTGTCGATGTTTTTTATCGTGATGAATTATACATTTCCTATAGTGAACCCATAATCTCCCTCTAGAAGGATTTCGAAAACCTCGCTAGTGGTAGCTTTACGTTATCATGCACCCGACTAAAAAATCGCCATTATGTTCACATCCATTTTATGTTTTTTATTTGCTATCTAACACATGAAATAATCATGAACTTACTACTACTTTTTCCTTATTCTTT